AAATCCGCGAAATAAAAAGGGAAATCTTCTATGCCGGTATAAAATTTGACTTTTTGTCCTTGGGACAAGATTATGAAATTGTGAATAAAAGCGCGGGATAACAGTTATCTTAAAATTGAATAAATGAATCCTTGTTTTTTAGGGTTCGTGAGGTGGAGGTTCCATGTGCTCTCAATATTGCAGCTGTACACCTCAGGTACAGGGCTTCTCATAAAGGATGAGAAAACAAAGACGATTGTACAAAATGTTTACTNTGTTAAGAGCGTGAAATATTTTATTTCTCCTCTAAATTCTCAAAATATATCAATTTTAAGATGCTAACCTGGTCTAATTTCTGCCCATTTTTTCTTGGTCTTTGTGACGCACATTTCCATATTGAAAGATGCGTATGATTAGCAAATGCGTACAAATGGCATTAGTAATTCCCACGGCCCCTCCGGGCACTTTGTTTAGCTAGATGTAAACCTATGCCTAGTGACGAACACACACTTGACATAGACACATACACACACATCCTAGGGGGACATACGGTTGAGCTCAAATGCACAGTTTGAATATGTGAGAGATAGAGGAGTATAGGGGATTTAGACAAAATATTGCAAGGATGAGAAAACTGCAGAGAAATATTTGATCAAGATAGATTATATACGTGCCTCAAACTCCTTTACAACCTCAAGTTGTAGATCTTGGATATTTTTTAACTATCAATTCTGATTCGTCAAAAATAGTCAAAGTGTGAAATATCAAAGGTCTCCGACGAGAAAAAGCAAGATTAGAGATGAGAAAATGCGGGAAAAAGAAAGTTAAAAATGAAGAATAATTTTTAATGGGGGAAAATGGGTTTAAAGAAAGAAGAGAAATTAAAGATATGCTGCTTGGGTTGGAAACTGAAATGAGAGGATACAAGGGGAGTGGAATATATTCTACCGAGAGGGGTCAGGGGGAAGGGGGAGTGTTGGTGGGACCCCTTTTACCTCGTTTATTTCTGTCCTATATTTGTATTGTAGTGAATTATTTCTCTCAAATTTCGAATCTACGGAAATTTTATCCATTAAAGCCAGATCTGAATATACGAATATACAGCTGTCCCTTCACTTAGCCGAAGGAATGGCAGTGGGGAAACCGACCAACTTTTTACAACTTAGACAAAAATAAAACAGTTATAGAATAAACTTTTTAACAACTTTTTAAAAACTATTTTCTATATTTTAAGTTTGATACTAAATCTCAAACTAAGATTTTTTTTATTAAAACATGAATAAATTCTATACTGTCAAGTTTCAAATATACAATTTTTAGAAATCAGAATTATTGTGTTTAATTGTCCACTGTAAACTATTTTCGGATACTTTAAAAAGTTTGCTGAAACAAAAAATTAGCCGTAAAACTTCCAAATTGGTTCATTTTCGTATCCCAATATTTCATTTGGGTAGATTCCTTAACTAAAAGGCCTTAAAATAAGTTTGTTCCTGAACTGAAATCTCTATTTCAAGGTAGGTATCCGAACTAAATATGGTTGGCTGGTTTTCAATAGCGATGGTTTCAGCACAATCTAGCAACAACTTCATTGATAAACACAAAAACTGGTTTGATTAAAAAGGATTAGGAGGATGGGGGGGGGGGATTCTGGTTTCTGGAAAAGAAACCAATATGTCTATTTTTTTTCTTCGTTTATTCACATTTTACAGTTCAATATCATACTGAATTCAAAATACCAAGTTTATGATCAATAAATTGAGATTAACAATTATCGTTTAAAAATCATTTTTCCTTCTTAACCTACTAATATATCCAATATTAATCAAAACCTGGAACTCTTAGCCTTTGACTAATAAATAAGATATCCTGATTTATTTTAACTGAAAATTGATTATTTTCCATTAATGTTTAACAAGTACCGGTGTGAATCGAATATGCCACTATTTAAATGGAGAAATACTTTCGTCTACAGTCTTTTATTTCCTGAATCCCTGAACCTGTAGCTGAATAAGAAATAACTTTTATAAACCCTGAAAATATGCGCGCTTTGTCGTTGCTATTGTTGGGGCGCATTTATCCTGAATTCCAGGTATTGTTGCGAATATGTAAAAATACTGTGCGCGCGCGCATACCAGCACGTGAACGTATTTATCCTACACTGCATGGGACTAGGGATAAGGTTGACCTAAGCTCTGTTGTATGCATTATAAACTTTTACATATATTATACTCCATTCATATTAAGGTTAGGGTTCAACCGAGAGTTTAGATTTAAAAAAGGTTTTAACATCGATATTGATCAATGGGATAAAAACCACGTTCCGAAATCTTAAGTCTCGAAAAATAATCGATTTTGTTTAAATGTTTAAGATTTAGTAAAGCCTAGTGTTAAGAGCGTGAAATATTGACTATTCCAATTAATGTCGAAAGTATGGATGCGGTGCAGCTAAAAATTTGCATAGAATTTATAGAATTTACCGTAGCAAAAACTTTTGTGATATTTAAATCGCAGAGTTGTGGATTTTTAAAATGAAAACACCAACGAGACTGGAGTGCTATCAACCATGCACAAAGGTGCCATGATGGTTTATTTTTCATATTTCAGACAAAAAAAATGTTTTCTGTTTTCGGAAAATCTTTAAAGGAAAGTCCTATTAGCGACTATTCTAACTTACGCCAACAAACCCTTTAATAAAATTAAAAACATTTAAAAGTTTAAATGTTTAAATTGTTACGTAAGAACTGACGAGTTCGTGATAAAGTATAATATTCATTTAAAGAATTTCTGTAGGCTGGAGATAGAGTTAAAGGAGTTGAAGACCATAATATTGAAATTATAACTATTACTTCTGCAATTATCCAGGGGTAAACGTTCCCCACATTTTCATCCCATCTACATCTCAAAATTAAATTATCAATTTTAAGGAAAACATTTAAATGGAGTTTTTTTTGTGAAGAATATTTTCCCTTTGTTTTAATACAGGCTGGGTTCCTAGGTAAAGAATGGTTTAGGTTTCAACGTATATATTTAATATCATTTATTCAACTTAGACAGGGAGCCTCAAAATATACTAGATCGTGTCAATGGTATCAATAATTTGATTAAAATGAATGCTTAACATTTAAAAAAATTTATAATTTTTCAAGACGAATTTAATAGAATGAAATCAAGTTACTGCATGAATTTCACGTAGTTTGCGAATATGCATAAAATAAGCCATCAAGTGTTACAGCAATTTTATTATTTTGCAAAGAAACCATAAGTACCATTGCAAATATAATCTTGGCTGAAATTAAGGTGAAAATTTCAAATTATTTTATTTTAAAACTATGTTGATTTTTCAAACCAGGAAAACCAGGAAACTAGAGTAACAAAAGAACCTGGTAAATCAGGGCTACCAGGGCTACCAGGGATAACAGGGATACCAGGGATACCAGGGCTACCTGTATACCAGTATACCAGGGATACCAGGGATACCAGGGATACAGGGATATCAGGGATACCACGGATACCAGGGATACCAGGGATACCAGGGATACCACGGATACCAGGGATACCAGGAATACCAGGGATACCAGGGATACCAGGGATACCAGGGATACCAGGGATACCAGAGTGGTTGGTAAATAAGGAGTAAGAAAGAAATAGAAATTGGAATAGAGAGAGAGATGGAATAAGAATTAAAAGTAAAACCTTCCGTATCTGTTCTAAACCTTCCTAGTTCCATGATTTAAAACTTCCCTTTATATGTTTACCTTCCCTATTTATTCTACACCTTTCTGGTAACATATTTTTAAGCTTCCTCATTTGTTCTACACCTTCCCAATAACAAATTTTATCATTTGTAATAAACCTTCTTTATTTTATTTTTACCTTCTCTTCTTGTTTTAATCCTTCTTTATTTTTTTCTCTCATTAAATATAGTTACATATATATATAAATCTTTCTTTTTTAATCTTTAATTTTTTCTCTACTTTTAACGAACAACAATGTTTATCAGAAGCTGTCAAGTTTTACTAAAGAATTAAAAGAAAATAATATTTTTGCTTTGTTGTAATATAAGAAGCTGGTACCCCGCTGATATCTATATTGAATAGTGTTACACGTAGCTAAACGACTAGATATTTGAAATGATACCAACTTTAGTGTTTATTACAAAACACCCATCAGATTTGATACTCACCAGAATGAAAGAAAAAAACGAATCAAACTATCATAAAAGTTCGGTTTAAGCTTATTGAATTAGTAAAACTGTCTCGTGTTTAGCTGTTAACAAATTTAAAAACTAAGAGGTTTCGTGATATTTAAACTTAATTATTTTCAGGAATTTTAACATAAAAATTAGCCTCAAATATTTTCCAACATGTTAAAATCTAAATATTTTTTCGACACTAGAATTCGACTAAATTTCAATATTTGAATTTGACTTGTACACAAATAAGTCATTGAACGCAGAAAGAAAGAAAAAGCTGAATTTATTAAGAAGCCTGGCCCACCCCCCCCTCTCCATCCCCCCAGTGTTTC